GAGAACCAAGAATTTAAGTGCTGAGAAACATGCTCCAGACCAAAGGCAGTGCAGGAAGCTGGTGAAGGCACTGGCATAGGAAACCAGGAACCAGCAGCACAAACACCTAATGGGATATGCAAGCAGAACAGGCTTTTTTCTTACCAGAGTATGGATTGCTGCTCAGGCTGCCATCTCTTCCAGTCAGTGGGGTGGTGGGTGTAGGGAATGGGATGCTGTAGTAATCCTGAAGGATAAAAACCAAAGAAGTTTGATGAGCTCACTCCCAAGATGCAATGCAGGATCTTTTGGAAAAGAGGAATTTCTGGACTGCAGCCACTAAACATGTTGGAGTATTGCAGTTCAATCAGCCACATGGAAGCTGATCACAGCTTACAGCAACCCCAGCTTCTTTCTAGCATGCACCATCCCCCTCATCTGGCTATCAGAATAACCAGATAAGGTCTACTGGTATGCAAGTCCTGAAAGTGCCTGGACTTTCCCCTCCACAGCACGAGGGACACATGTGGCATTGCTTGATAAACCCATTCTCATTATTTGGTCACTTCCTCTTTCAAGGCTCAGAGGCAAGTCTCTACAACAGCTCATTGCACCACTGGCAAGCAGAACAGTGCTCTAGCTCTGCATTCCCTAGTCCCACCAGCAGTGTGACCAACCAGTGCTCCTAACTCCCCAGATGTTACTCAGCAGCTGAGTAACTCACTACTGCACAGGAGCATCCATTCAGCACTCCTTTGTCAGCTCCTCAGGACTATCTCACAGCCTAACCTGTCTCCACACCCAAAGCAGCAGCACCAGTGGAAGCAGCAAGTTCCTGTACTCACCAACGGGAATCTTGTCTGGAGCATTTGCAAGTCATCATACCCATAGACCTGTGGCTAGAAAAAGAGCAGGAGATGACACTAGGGACACAGACTAGATAAAGCCACTTACCTCATTTTAGATTAAGCATTTAGATAAATGTGAGAAAAAGCCAGAAGCAGATGAGCAGAGGCTACACAATTACCAAGGTGCAGGCAGCCATCATTCACCACCACCAGACTGACACTACCAAGAACCCTTTTATGTGCTGCTCAAATGAGGAGTGAGCACCAACACCCAGCACAGTGCTCCAGACCACAAAGGCACTGACAGTGTTCTTCTAGAGATTATTCCAACACCAAAATCTGTCCTTATCTTCAGAAAAGGGTTGTGATTTTGTGGCAGTCACCACCCTTGCTCTGACTGTGTGGCCTTTGTATGCCATGCTGCTAATACAGCTCCACACCTTCCTGAGCTGTGCTCTGACCAAGGTCTGTTGCTCCCCAAAGGATGGAAAGGCTGTAGAGGCAGACACAGAATCTGCTCTGGGGTGACCAGAATTACAGATGTTTACCCCCATAGGTACATGGATTTCCTCTGTTACTATGGAGAACATGCAGGAAAACAGCAGGTTTTATGGAACACAGCAGGTTGACTCTTCCCATCCAAGGCAGTCCTTCTGTGCTGCTGTTTTTGTTTCCCGACTATCCTACATCCCTTCCTGCTAGCTGAAGACAGAGCTAGGAGGGATCTAGTGGCATGACATGACTGCAAAGAGCTGGTTGTCCCACTCACCGGATAGGCATGTAGCAGCCCTGGAGCCATGATGTAAGGATTAGGCAACAACGGTGGGACTCCAGGAGGGAGATTGGGAGGGGCTTTTCCTGGAAAAAGGAACAGGAAGTTCCCCAGTGAAGCAAACAGCAGAAGCTGCCTCTCATTGTCCCTGTCCCCTTATCCTGTTCAGCAGTACCCAGGAAAATACCTGATGTTGTTGCGACTGAGCTGCGAGTTGAGGCTGTCACCGTGGAGTTACTACTGAGGCTGAGGCCCAGGCTGCTGACACTGCTGAGGCTGGAGGAAACGCTTACGGCTGGTGGGGCGGCTGACACTGTGCTGGAGGAGGTGGAGAAAGTGCTAGCAGAAGAATGGAGGCTTGCTTCACTCTCCACACTTGTGTGCTAGGGAAGGAAGGGAGAAGAGTCAGGGGGCCAGGCAGCTGGAACAGAGTGCAGAAACACTGCAGGACACTGCACCTAGCCATTGTGAGAGCCTGCAATGAACTTGGCTGCTGCAGGCTACAAAGAAACCTGCTTTGCATCTGCCTTAAGTCCCAAGTCCTGACAGCAGCCAACCCCTAATTTTTCTGAGCCTCGCATGTGGCTGTGTCCCAACATGTCTGTCTGCTGAAGAAGCAGGGTTGAGCACCGCATCTGCAGCAAGAGGCTGACACTGCTGCAGAAGCCAATGCCCAGGGACTCTGCACTGAAGGAGCTCCAGCAGAACACACATTTGACCAGTGGCAATTCAGCAGCTGCCAGTTTACTCTGACACCTGGTTGTAAATCTGCAGCACATTCAAGAGCTGCTACAGCCTCAGAAGCAGCTGATGTTACACCTGAAACAGGCAAGGTGTCAAAAGCCTCGAGACAGAGGTGCCCAGACAGTGTTCTGACATAACCCCCTGTCCTCTCCATAAAACATCCGAACTCCAGCAGAACAACCAGCAGCCTGATAGCTCTTGTCACAACTGCAGACCCTGCGCCAGTGGGGGTACACAGCACTAGAGCACACCCAGACTCACCAGAAGAGTTGAAGTTGACGTTCGCCCAGAGGAGGTGGATGAGGACAGACTGTTCTGCTGGGTGGGTAATGTACTGCAGAAGGAGGAATAAAAGGTTGTCAAGCCAAAGGATGAGACTCACTATTGGCAGCACCAGCCCAGATCCCATTCCCCACCTACTTAGATGGGATGATTTATGTTGGTCTTCCCTATTTCATGAGACAGACTTTGTTGTCTGCTTTAGATCCCTGCTTCTAGTTCTGCTCCTTCAGAAAGCCAACCGCCATGCTTGCTCACCTGCTGAGCTGGGCACTGGTCGTACTGGGGAGCTCCTCACTGTGACTCAGGCTGCTCAGAGCTGTTGAGTGTTGGCTGGCTGTCGTCAGCAACGAGGATGCAGATACCCCATCATTGAGAGGCGTGATGCTGGGAGCAGAGGGGGAATCTGATTTCACTGTGGGGCCTGTAGCACCTGCCAACAAAAGCTTTGCATTAGCAACAGCTCCTGGAAGGCAATGGAGTGGTGAGGATCAGCAAAGCAGGGAGATGCGGGGTTTCCCTCACTGCTGCCAGCTAGGTACACACTTGTGACAGCACAAACTGTGTTGTACTTCTCGCTTTACCCCAGCACTGCCATCAGCTCTGCAAAGAGCTTGAAGACCTTTAGATGAGGTCCCTTTCACAAAGAGAAAATTATTATCACCAGGGAGTGACTCATCATGGATCTCAGGGATCCATCAGCTGAAAGCTGCACATCTCAAGGCAAAGAAATAATCCAAGTGGCAGCAATTAGTCCAGCAGGCAAAAGACTTGCTGTTAGTACAGATAAAGCTTTCTTTTCGAAGCAAAGAATATGAGCAGTACAAAAGGCTCAGGACACCCACGGCACTGAGAGACTCTTACCTTCGACAGCCTGTGTGGTTTGTAACGGCGTGGGTTGTACAGAACTGAAACCATTCTAAGGAAGAAGAGAGAAAGAGTACTGGGTATTGCAGCTCCTTTCCCTGAGGCAGGTCTAGTGTTAGCTCCCCTCCCCGACTCCCTCCTCACCATCATGTCACCACACTGTGTGGGGTCTGTCCCAAGTTCGACCAGCCCAGTGCCAGCAAGACCCTCAAGTGCCTATTTGAGCAAGCAGGGGAAGAAGTTCCTCTGCTGCTGGTAGCCAGATTGGCTCAAGATCCCCAAGTCAAAACTGCTGTTACTGAATGTGTGTGCAGCATGCAGGAACTGAATCCTTAAGACAAAACTGAATTAGCCTGAATGCCACTCTGCACAAGGTAATTATGCATGACAGGACACATGGCCTGCTATCAACCACTGTTAACCCCACTGGCCCAGCCCCAGGGAAGTTCCATAACTAAGGGCTCTGGTAGTAGCTCTCACAAACCATGTGGTGAGGCTTGGAGGATCACAGAAACACTTGATACATCACTTAGCTTCCCCCAAGCCAGAGCTTCACACACTGTGCTTACTCAGCACAAAGGGTGAGCAAAGCTCTTCTCCTACCTTAGCCTGGGGCAGATCTTTCTGGGGCGAGGAGGAGATGGAATTTGGGTATCGCCTCGTCTGGGTGGATCTCTGTTCATACAGTGGTCCCTGAGCACTGTTCTGGGAGGTAAATGTGGCTGTCTGCATTGTGCTGCTCTGGTAACCAGACTCTTGGCTTTGATTGGACGAAACTGTGGATGAAGATTCACTGCTAAGGAAGAAACCAAACAAGAAGAGTTAATGTTTTCCTCCAGCACAGCCCTGCTGGAAGCTGCTCATCCTGGAGACTTCATCTCAACCTTAAAAATGAAGAATCCCAAGCATCAGCATAAAAGTACCACACAAAGCAGCCAAGCAGCGAAACATGCCCAGGAAAGGGCCATGGAAGGATGATGGCACCTTGCTGCAGCTCTACCTCACACACTTTTGTGCTCTAGATGACATTTCATGAGCTTTGCTTTGAAAAGGTATGATCATCGTAGCTACACCTACTCCACTGTGTCATAGACTCATAGGATCATAGAATCCTAGAATAGTTAGGGTTGGAAAGGACCTTAAGATCATCCAGTTCCAATCCCCTGCCATGGTCAGGGACACTTCACCCAAGGGATACCATGTCACCCAAGGCTCTGTCCAACCTGGCCTTGAGCACTGCCAGGGATGGAGCATTTACCACTTCTTTGGGTACGCTGATGCCAGTGCCTCACCACCCTCACAGGAAAGAACTTCTGCCTTGTATCTAACCCAAACTTCCTGTGTTTCAGTTTGAGCCCATCACCCCTTGTTCTATCGCTCCAGTCCCCTGGTTTGCCAGGCAAAAAGCAGGACAAAAGCAGGAATCTATTCTCCAGGGACAAGGAACAGTTGCACTGGGGATTCTTCTGTGTTTCAGGCAGCACAGTTAACTGCAGCAGGAAACATCCGTTTTCTGTACAAGTACCACAGGTCAATCAGTCAGACAGCTGCCTGAATGAGTCTGTTGGCAACTTGGGCTTGCTTTTGCATACATTGTCCCCCCTTTGTGACCATGGCACAGTCAGAAAGGGTCTACTAGTATGCAGCACAATTGAAGTCTATGGGACCAGCTACCCTTCCAAAGCTACCTGCTCAGATTCATGTTTCCTTCCTCGTGCCCGGCCCTCACCTCGCTGTGCTGGTGTACAGGTTGCTCTGAGCCTGGCTCACGGCAGCACTTGTTGTGGGTGTTGATTCATACTCTGCAAGAACAGGCTCAGAACCAAACTGCAACGCCCCAAACTGCAGGTTGAGCCCTGAGATATCTGCTGAGCCAGGCATTTCCACTGCAAGGGCAGGAATCTGCAAAGGAAGGAACAGCAGAAAGGATCAGTCACCCTCTGGGATCATCACAGAGAATGACTTTAGTATCCCCACTTCCCAGCACATAATGGTAGTTCCAGGCTTGCATCATCTGCATCAGCCCTGTTCAACCCAGGTAGGGAAGCTTTCTCCATCACCACCCCAACTTCCTAACAACAGTAAGGCCAAGCCCAACCCCTATGGATTGTTCTGGATCTCTACCACAATACAACACCTCCTTCCCCACCATCCATCCCCACCTTTGATGTTAATGATGCCTTTTTCTTTTGCTGCTTCAGCTTCTGCTGAGCTGGCTGGGGACTGGATGACTGGTTGTCCGAGGAGCCTGGGGACATCTGAGGGACAGGATTGGCTTTGCTGGGCAGTGGGGAGGAGGAGGGTGCTGGAACGGTTGTGGAGGCAGTCACCACAGGCTGTTTCTCCTGCATGAACACTTCAATCATGGTTGAAGTTGAGGTGAAGGCCTGACGCTTGGTGAAGGGACTATGCACGGAGGAGTCTGTTGGGTTCTTGAGATCTAGCAGGGGAGACAAGAGTGGAGTTAGGGGGGTTTGTTTCCTTAAAACTAAATCAACTTCTGACACTTCAGAGGATCAACCAGCTTGGAAAAGACCTTTAAGATCATCCAGTCCAACTCTTCCCAGCACTGCCAAGGCCACCACTAACCCATGGCACTGAGGGCCTCATCTACATGGTGTGTGAACACTTGCAGGAACAGTGACTCCAGCACTGCCCTGGGCAGTTTGTACCAATGCCTGAGCACCCTCTGGGGAAGGAATTGCTCCTATTCTCCATCTAAAGCTCCCTGGAGCAGCTTGAGGCTCTTGCCTCTTGTCCTGTCACTTGTTCTATCACTAGGACAGGGCTTGAACCAGAGCCATTTCCCTATAGCAAGATATCAAGACACACAAGCTGAAAGAAATGGCCCTAGTACTGGCCTGCAGCAGGGCTCAGCATCCCATCTGAAAAGCTGGAGCTTCTCAAACACTGTTTATTCTCTCACACCAGCCCAGAGTTACTTCTTGGCACTGAACAGTCACCAGAATTGCATTCCTTTAAATGATACCAGTAGGTCAGCATCGAGATGCCACTGCCAAGTGGTGCTATTCACGAGCTCTTCCCCACAGGTACCTGCTTTCAGACCTCTTCCCTGGGACACAGTTTTATATTAGGAAGTAGTGAGGATCTCAGGAATGCTAGATCCCTGGCCCTGAAGCTGGCTGCCATGACCATGAGGCTCCAAGTATAAGAGGTATAGGGAAAGACTCACACGCATTATATTGCATTTCACTCCTTTAAACTTGCACCCATGGTCCTTCTAATTTCTCCAGCACAGTTGACTTGGTTGTGAACTTGTGATCTGGCCCTCACTGAATCCGTCACAGTTCTGTTGTGCTCCCCTTTGGGTAACCACACTGTTCCTTACCATACTGCACAAGAGATGAGGTCTGCGGAGTAGATCCCATGTCCCAAGAAGCAGTGGTGCTCCCACCAGGCTGGGTGTGTTGAGCAGCCAGCTGAGCCAGAGCCTGGGCTGTCTTGAACTGCTCCAGGAACTGAGAACCTGTGGTACTGCTGCCTTTGGCCTCCCCAACATCTCCAAACCCTTTCCCCAGCATGCTCACCTGCAATTGCAACAAGGCAATAACAAAGTCAGTGTCTCCCTTGGCTTGGAACTTGGTTCAGAGGACAGATCCACCTCTGAACATAGGCCTGGACACTCTGTACCCTCACTGTACCTCTCACTGGGTGCCTCACTGTGCACGCTCTGCACCCACACTATACCTCTCACTGGGTGCCTCAGCTTAATGCTCTAGATGCACTCAGACACAGCTGGCAAGGAGAGCTTGTACTTCTCTTACAGCCGTTCTTGCATGGGGGTGCAGGTGCACTTACCCATTGCCCACATCATGACATTTCATAGTGTCATGGAGGCTTACAAAGGAAGGGCTCTTTAAGTATGTCCTAAGTTATTCCCATGCATTTGGTGGCACTAAAGACACCACCAGGAAAACTGGGCTTTACCACTGAGGTGGTTTGGAAAATCCTTCATGAATTCTCATCAGTAAGCGCACAACTGCTATTTCTTTTGCTTAAGTTACACAAAAAGCAGCACCTGCACAGGCCTCTGCCCATTCCTGATGCACATCCAATGTCTCCTTCCTTCTACCCAAACGCAGACAGAGCATATCTGGGAAACCCATACATTCCTAAGATATTTCCTTACCATGCTGTGGTGGGAGAAGGAGTTCCCAGAGGCAGGCTGGGATATAGCACTCTGCTTGGAATTGCTGAAAACCAGCGGCTGGGCCAGGGAAGGAGCCTGGGATGACTCCAGGTTTGGCGACTCATTTTCCATAGAAGAGGGCGTCTTTCCTAGCAGGACTGCCAGATCAATTCTGGGTAAAGAAGGGAGATACCCACTGAGGTTAACACAAGCTCTGTCCCCCCCCCGCACTTCCATTGCGGCAGTATTCTACCTTCAGCTTCCCAAGTTATAGCCTTCACAAACTGAATGGATCTGCAGAACATTAACTCACTGCCAGTAGCAGCCTCAGAAGGACAGAGCATAGGAAAACTCCAATCCAGGATTGACCCAGAAACTCCTAACTCAACTTTTCCATTTAAATCCATCTCATCTTAGTGAGAGCTGCTGCATTTTAGCCAGCTGGCAATGGTTAGTCTGAGATGGCAAATGGCTCTGGTCTTTGTGTGCCACATAAAGAGCATTGCCATGGACTCTCACCTCTGTCCAGCTGTGATTGTCACATTCTCAGCAGGCAGAGGCACTGAAGACACATTGGAGGCAGTGAAGATCTTTGTCTCAGACAGCTGCAAGATAGAAAAGGGGAAAAAGAATCCAAACATTGAGGACAGTGTCTTGGGACTCCAAGTAAAGCACAAAACTGCTTGAGCCACAGAAACAGTCAAGAAATGCAAGTGCTGAGACTTCAACTCCTCTAACATTTGGCTCCCATCAGAAGCAGCTTCTATTTCATCTGTTTCTTTTCAGGCAAGTGCACAAATCTTCTGCCAGTGGCAAAACACACCCCCCAGATCCTTCCATAAATGTCCTGTAGTTCATAAATCCACTAGGACTGCCGGGCTCTTGGCTGCTCTGAACTGACACAGCACTCAACTGCAAACCCCACTGCCCAGGGAGGTGCAAGCAATGCTAGAGAAGTCAAAGAAAACAGACCCCTGTGGGCTTCCCATGACCCTGGCCTCACCTGGATGTTCTGACCAAGAGATCTACTGCAATTATGGAAGGAAAAAGAACATTGCTCAACACTGAAAGAAGAGGAGGTTTAATGACGTGGAACATCGCTGGATATGAAAAGCTTTGATTCCAGACTGAGGAGCTGCCAGCAACTAAACTGCAGGAGCTTAAAACCAAACTCAGGAACCCCTGGGAGCATATCACACACACTGAAGGCAAGAAGGGCTATCAAAGGCTCTCTTCAAGCAGAGACCTGACTGAACAGACAGGGAAGCTGCTTGTGTCTCCAAATACAGCAGGAGCCCTTCACAGTGCCTGGAAAGCAAAAGGTTTCTCTTCTTGCTCATTCTGTAGGATTAGCAAAAAATGGGCATGTAAAACAAATACTAAAACCTAGCCCTGCTCCCATCTGCAAGAGCTGCAGCTCTGCCTTGATTCAGAGAGGGACTGAAGCCTATTTCAGGAGAAATGGACATGGAAGCATTGAATGCAGCTGTGAACGGTGTCTGTTCTCCCCTGCAGGAGAAGTTAGGTAGAGAACAAAAAGCACTGGGATGTGCCAAAGAGCAAGTCAGGGTGCAGATCAAACCTTCCCCAACTGCCACTCCACTGGAGCAGCAGAGCAAGAATCCTGTGTGGAGTCAGGCCAGTTTATGGAAGAAATAAATCATTCAGGAAATGAGAGGACCATACTTGATGCCCCAGCATATCCCTTCCTGTCTTGGGCTCCTATGACAAGCTCTACTTCACACCTACTTCTGAAGCAGGCATGTTTAATTATTCATCACAGCTCCTGAAACTGGGAGTTTGGGGAGGCTTGGCTTTCTGTTCCTCTCATTGCTGTATGCACACGTCAGCAGCCGCATGGAGGAAAGGGGTCTGGAGTGTACCTACATCTTCATTCCAGTCCTCCGTGCCCCATTCTTCTGTCGCTGCCCTCCAAGCACCTACAAGGGTAACAACAGGGAGAAGTTACGCACACAGCAAAGCTCTCCCTCCAAAAGGCAGGGAAGCATTGGGGAGCTTTGCAAGCAGCTGAGAGCGTTTCTAATTGCCAACCAGGCAACGTAAAGCAGTTTACCCCAACCCACAATTCATGGGCAAGGCACTGTGATGGCATCGCCTCTGCCTTGCTCGGGCTGAAAGAGAGGGACCCCTGGCTTGGCAGACCTGGATTAACACACACCCCAACTCCAAAAAGGGAGGCTGAGCTTCAGGAAGCCCTGGCATCGCCCCCAACCTCCTTGTGCCATGTTCCCGAGTTCCCTTTGTATTGCAGTAGCTGCAAGTTTCTGCACCCACAAGCAGTTCGTGTTACCCCAGCAGCTCAGACAGAGCATCTCCTTCACTGGCCCTTGGGAAGGACTCACCACCCACTTCACTTTGTGTTTCTATAAACCCCAGGGACAACTGAACCATTCATAGGGTTCATCTTCCCCCCCCAGGAATGTTAAAACTTCCCTATGCCAAGACCTCCTGTGCACAGACAAATGCAAATCAGAA